AGACAACGTGAAAAAAGAAATCTGCCCCCGCCATAACGTGGTCGTTCAATGTGTTCAGTGCTCGCCGGCGAATGGCGTTCGTATACCATCACCGCCGCCACCCGTGCAACAGCGCCGAACGTGTCGTTACGAAAAACGGTGCGCCTCGCACACATGCGGCCGAGCAACGGTCACCAGTTTGAAGTCGGTACTTACTACAGTCGGTTCTCCTCCGTGTCCTTCCTCTTTTATTTTTTGTTTTCGTTTCTCAACAACCGCCTCCCTTCAGCGACCGAAACATTTTTGAAGATATTTCGTAGGTAGTCTATTGACGAGTGTTCATCGGATCGCCGCCACTGTCTTCGTCGTTCTGTCGCGTGATGGCTAGACGCTTCTATCGCCGTCGGACCACCAAACAAGAGACGTCCACGGTCGGAATCTTCACCTTTGCCGCCGGAATCGCCATTGTGTTCGTCTTGATCGTCGTCACTGTTGCTGCCATCCGTCATGCGATGTCACCGCGTACGCGTAACGTTTAATGTGACGTGTCCTGTCGTTTTAATAATATTAATTATTACCGTCTCGAATTTTTACAACTTCTCTCGCTCCTCGTAGCAAAGACGTTTATTGCTGTCGACCGGACAGTGTTGATTTTTTCCGAATACGACACTCAAGTGACATTGCAACGGATCTGGCTCGTCGCCGTGTGCTACTAAAATATATGTTGTCAACGCACAYACTGTGGCGCCCAATTAAAATCCATCATCTGCTCCAAGTACAGACCTTATATCAATATACTCATAGGGTACGTATCTACTACTTATGTCCAGAAGGTAACATTTGGGTCATCATTTGTCAAGACAGGTGTCATTGACTAGAATCTCATAATTTAATGTCTCATATTATCTAGGCTTATGTTTTTAAGACAACTATGTACTTTAACACACTGTAATCGACTTACAGAAGRCCATATTAAATTCTAATTAAGATAAATAGCTATATAAGCACGTAAGTTCAAATTAAGTGTCCCTATTCATATAATTTATTAATGATATAAACCAGAATTGCATGACAACWTGTTTGAATTGAAAAAAATCCACAATATAATAGGTATTTAATTGTTTGTATTATGTTAAAGTGTAAATTTTTTAGGATCAGACAAGAATTGATGGGCTTATAGAATTGTTTGATTTGTACCAGATTACCTACTGATTCATAATGATGGATTTTTCTCCAATTAATAGTCAAAACCAACAAAATGAAGATTATCATCAACAAGTAAATTTTAATATTCTTATATTAATGCATGTTGTTTAGATTTAAATTTTGATATCAAATTAATACATTATAGATCGCTTTTCCATCGAGGACTGATCCACATACATATGCAATTAACACCACACCAAGTATGTAAAAATCACCTTTATATGTCTTCATTATTATCATTTTATACCGATAATTACTTWATTTTGGCTTCTATGATATGTAAATATTATTGTATTTATGACATGAGTTAATTTATTACTTCAATTTTTTTTTTATCGATTTTGAGTTCCATTTGTATGTTATATGGTATGAATTGATTTGCAGTATTTTTCTAATGTTAACTGAATTTAATTTTTTTTTTTTTAGGAATAAGTGCTATAAAAACAACTAAGCAAATACATCCTTTTAATGTAAGTACCTAGTGATTTTATTAAATTATGGCAAGTTGTTTAGTTGTTTAAAATTAATTGCTAAACATAGGTAATCGAAGCACATKTATTTTTAATTTGTTTAAGACTAATAAGCAGTGTTGTGCAATAGCTAAATTTAGTTAAATAAAACAATTGTATCTTTTACTTATCTAGATAAATTACATAATTGGTATCTACCTGTCATCTAAGATAGAAAACTTTGTCGTCTAAATTAATTTATCTAGATTGTTCACGAGACGTAGTCTGAAAAATATACGAACATAATATTTTCTGATATTATTTTTAAAATTGTATAATGTTTTCGCATTATATATATAATGAATTATACGTATATATTTAGGTACCTAGAATTATTATTGTCATTTGTCGCTAATGTGCACCACTTTTAAGAAATTAATAATAATAATTGTATCGTTGATCGTCAATCGTCGATTGACGACAATGATAGATAAACTTTATATAATAATATTAAATAATTCAAGTCGAAGGTCTAAGAATAACCTGATAGACGATAGTACTGGGAAGTGGGAATATTGGTATTATAATAGTGTAAAAATACCAATAACTAATAAGAATAACTGAATAAACCACCAGCTCCACTCAGTCCACTCACCATTCGCCAACAACCTTTATTAATTAACYACTGCAAGTTATAAATATTTCATTTATTATTAGTCATTGCCTATGGAAAAAGTATCATACCATCACAATTGAGTATTCAGATAAATAGTTATAACTCATAATTGTATTAATAGTTTCTACAAACCTAATATAAAAAATAWAATTTAACAAAATCATGTTGTAAGAATAAAATGTATAAAAAATCATTTCATTTTCATCTAGATAAAATTGATTTTATCTGTATCTATATCTAGATATATTTTAATTTATCATTCTCAATCTCTATCTAGATATATTTTGAGTTCATATATCTTATCTATATCTAGATACAAAAAAATGATCTAAACACAGCACTGCTAATAAGTGCTGGTAAATTACACACACTCCAAAATGTCCAATTTAAATTTTTTACAATGTATGTATGTGTTATTTGACAAAGTGCTGAAGAATTTTAAGAAATCGATTTTTAATAAGATATTTTTTTTTAAATCTCATGAAATAATTGGTTTTGTATGTATTTTGGATATATTTGATTTTAATCAAGTGATTCCTAAAAATTTTAGTCCTGAAACTTAAAATTCAACAATTTTTATTTTAATTACAATCAAACTTCAGAAAGTACTTACTAATTTACTACTAGTAGTTTTTATAGTAATGCAAACAAGAATATATTTAATTATTGKCTGAGTATTGTCATATGCATGTATGTCCAATAGTTGCATCTGGCTTCCACGTTTATGCAGAATAACAGCCATTCTCAAAAACACACTTATATTAATTTATTACTTGCACATACATTGCCCAAATGTAAATGTCATATGGATTGTCTATATATTACTACTAATAACATAATGTTCTCCAGCGCTATTAAATTATATTWTATTTTTTGTTTACAGTATCTTTTCCAACCAGTGGATCCTCCGCAATTTTCCTCTCACAATAATCATGGTATATTAAATTTATTCATATTTATTACTTGTATTCTATAAACAAATACTCATATTTTAACTTTTTTTTTGTTTAGGAATTTGCGTTAAAGTCATTGAGTATGTTTTGGAAATTGAAAAGAGAAGACTCACTGACCAAGCTTCTAAAAATACACATGATGGTGCTAATGTCTCTGAACATTCTTCTATAAACTATGGTAACTAATAATCATATTACATTAAAAATGTAGATATTAAAAGGGAGTCTTGGTTTTGTAATTTATTGAACATGTACAATATTAATTATGAAATCCACAAATTGTATTAATTGAATATGCTTTAGTAATATTAAATGTAAATCTACGTTTGTGGGTTATTGTTGAACCACTGGATGAAATATTCCAACATTATTTGTCCCAAATAATATTCAAGAACAAGATTAGTTTTCAAAATACTTTAAGAAGACTCTACATGGGCGTTTGTTGTCACACTAAACATTTTACTATGTTTTTTTTGAAATTAGATTGAATTTGCCCCTAATSAAATTTAAAAAAAGATTATTAGGTAGTGCATTTYGGAAGATTTTATTTTTAAGAAGTTATGACCATTTTTAAATTGGGGGGGGGTTGTATATTTTAAAACAATCATATTTAAAAATAATAATATCACTTAATTCTTCTAAGATGCTGTAGATAATATTCTGCCTTTAAATTTTATAAGATGTAAATTCAGTCTAATTTTAGAAATTACAGAGATAACCGTATTATTGTGAATGTAAAATTTGACATGTACAGTTATAAGATGAAAAAAACAAATGCCAGTGTGGTGTCCTCTTAAGGCTATTAAAAAAAAAAATATGCAAATAGAGTGTATTATTGGTAAAAATATGATACTGTAGTTAGGTTTTATACTTAATAAATAGTTGTTAAAAAAACATTAATTTTCTTATTGATTAACTATGGTTTTGTGTAATTTTATTTAAAAGAAGTAAAATTTATTCAATAAAATAATCTTATAATTTTAATAATTCAGTTATTTATTCAATTTTTGTTGGGATTTTTAAGTTTTTTTTTATAATTTTTGTTTGTGTTGTCTACCTCTTACAAGCGTGTGACACAAGCAAATTTGTTTGCTCAGTAGATCACATTTAGCTCCATTAGTTTAATATTCAAAGTAAATTGAACTCTCATAAAAATTAAAGGTATCATTATTATCTATGGCTTCTCTTAGGCTTTTTATTATATTTTAATTTTAAAGTAAGTTATGAGTATTTTRAGATATACAAACAATTTACAATTTTAAAATACTCATAACTCGAATTAAAATATAAATATAATAAAACCCTATGAGAAGCCCTAGATAATAATGTAACCTTTAATTTTTATAAGAGGTCAATTCAATTAACTCTAATTATAAACTAACGAAGCTAAATGTGATCTGCTGAGCGTAATATTTACTATGGTTATACACTTGTAAGACAGAGACAACACATGCAGGTATCACACCATTCTAAATAAAATTACTAAGTTATAAATATTCAAAAAATTAATTTTATCATTTAAATTGWCGATTGCCAAATACATTTTCATAAATAAATTAAAAATGTGTTATACCAACTTATTTTTTTTTTTTTAAATATTGTTTTCTTTTTTTGAGACGACTTAATTATGTTGGTTTCTTGTTTATATGTTTATAATATATTTTAATAAGTAATAACATAAATGCATATTTGTATATTATTAATTTTCTTAATATGGATAAATTTTCAACAAATTACTATATAAATACGTAAAATCAATAAATTATAAAAAAGTTCATAATATTTATTCTTTATTATAACTTACTTGTAGCCACTTCTTAATAATTTTTATATTTTATTTATTAAGTGGATAAGAAATAAACTCTATCAAAAATATAATCAACTGTCAATAACCATGTTTACAATAAAAAAAAAAAATGCTATTTGGTAATATGCGCAAATTCGAACATATCCATAACCCATACTCAAAGAATTCAGTTAGAACCAAGCTTTAATTCAATTTCTATTCAAAATTGAAATTCTTACCACATTATAAATGTAAAACTTTTTATGCCACCTTATATTTATTCTTATTGAATAAATTCTATAGTTTGAAAAAAGAATTTTCTTAATAATTATTAGACAATGTAATTCAAAACTTAAACAACAGGATTATCCTTTAATTGGAAATGAATAATAGGTAATTAAAACAATTAAAGTGTATTATAGAATGATAAGTACTATTACTSAAACCAGAAAAATTTCATTTTCAATACTTTTGTAGGTATTTTTTACAATAATAAAAGTGTTGCAATGTCTTTAAAATTGTTGTATTTAAAATGATAACACACTAGATACCATTTCTTTTGAAACTTTAGAGAATACTTTTTTGTATTGCTTTGTTTTAGGTATAACATTGAGGAATTATATTTTACATTTTTTTTTCATTGAATTTCACTAATTTTTCTTAGTTGGTTGCATAGTTTTATATATTATTATTTATTATTAAAGATGTTAATTAAATTATATATACCAATAAGTCTTATTATATTTTATTAGATACTGTTACTATGAACAATCAAGTCCATATTCCCACTGATCTTAATATACAAGATACACCCACATCAAAATCATCCATAGTAATAACTCATAATGGGTAAGCATTTTTATTCATTCTTTTTAAAAATCATTATTATATATTGAACCCTTTTATTTATTTTATTTAAATAGAGTAAACAAAAAATGTATTCCAAGTGTACCAACGAGTGAACTTACACCCTTCAATCAAATTATGTATGAAAAGTCTATAGAATTACACAATTTAAGTAAAATTAAGAAATCAGTGGCATCAACTTTTAACACTGAACAAAATGGGTTTCCTCAAATGTCAAATTCAACCGGTGAACAATATTTCTCCAGTTTTGCAAGATATATACCCAAAACACCTGATATACAACTAATGTAAGAATATATCATATTTTAATTACAAGTGTTTTAAATGTATTAATTTSTTTATTCTAAAACTTAAGTTATATATTATGAACAATTATTAAACTTATTTATAGATCAAGCCCAATTCGCTATGAATATCGAGAAGAAACCAAAAATGTTCATCGTCCTTATTATGGTAACTATTATCTTAGTAGAAATTTTTTCAGTGATTAAATTTAATATTATTAACTATAAGCAGTCTTGTCAAGTATTTGATCAGATATACTTAAATATAGGTATAATAATACTTTTTAATCTTTCTGATCCATTCAGGTAAGAAAATTAATTTTGTAATTAATAATTATTTATTTAAAACTGACACATTAAGAATCATCAGAACTTTATATTACTCACTTAATTTTATACTAATAAATGAAAATAAATTATAATTTGTTATATTTTAATATTAAGTGGACGTTACACCCGCATGTGTTGTCTTCGCCTTACAAGTGCGTAACATTGCAAAAACTGTTTCGCGCGGGAAAAAACCGAGAAAACTACATTTATAACTAAGAAACAAAATTTTCACCACATTAAAAGGAGAATTTTGTTAGTGCGATATCGTTTTTATTTTTTCGATATCCGAACTACAAAAAAAGTTTGCTTAAAAATCACAAAATTAATGTATTATGAAACAATAAGAATTTTTTTCGTATAAGTGATATCGAAAAAATAAAAACGATTTTGCACAGACAAAATTCTCCTTTTTATGTAGTGAAGATTTCGTTTCTTAGTTATAAACTCATAACTGTAGCTTTCTCGGTTCTTTCCGCGCGAAACAGTTTTTGCAATGTTACGCACTTGTAAGACGGAGACAACACATGCGGGTGTAACGTCCTCTTAACTAAACAATCATTAATAGTGCGTTAATGAAATATTTAATACGTCTATTGCTTTGTTATAATTAMAATGATACAAAATATATAATCTAAAAACAATCTAAAATATCGCCATATGCAAAAAAAAAATCTAAAATATGATAATTAGTTCTTCTGGTTTTCAAAAATTATTTATATGCCAATACTTAATTTCTTATATTAATTCTTCCAAGACAGTATTTAAAATACTTAATTAAAATGATATTCTAAATAAAATTTTAATATACTATTAAATACTTTAAAATTAATTTTTCAGAAAGTATTTTAAATACTCTCTTGAACTTATTTGTATTCTAAAACTTTCAACATTTTTAAAATCCAATAGAATTTTCCAGTGGTTTTCTGATCTTTGTTATATTAAAATAATTTTAGTTAAAATGAAATTATTAAAAATGCATTTATCATATTACATTAATATATTTACAAAATGTAAATGTTTTAATTCATATTCAATTACTCCAGAACTATAACATAATTCTTTGAGCTTAAAATTAAGTTAGTAGTAAATGTTTTTAATAATACTTAAATGTGTCATAACAATTTTAAATTAGTCATTATTTTAATTAAAAAATTAAACATCTACTTGTTTAATTATAATAAATAAGTTAAATTAAAAGAGTGGTATAAAGTACTTAAATTTATGCCGATCATTTATTTCTGTTCTAAAATAATTTCTTTTTAAATTATTTTGATATGATTTAAAATGTATTTAGACTGCTTATTAGTTATTACTCATAATACAAATCTTGGATCATATTAATCGTAGTGCACCTTTTATTTATAAATTAAACATTATAAACATGTTTAAAAATATTGATATAATTGATCTATTTTTTGTTGATTAGATACACCACTGCTCCCTTCATTTCAACTAACAAATGAAATCGAAAGTCTTCAATTAATAATAAATAATACTGCAAAGTCAAAATCACATGTAAGTGTTAACTAATTATTATTAACTATAGTGATTTTGTTTCTTTGAGAGCATACATGATTTAGTGATCAATAAATTACTTATTAAGTCTTATTAAATTAATTTTAAATTTGAGTGGTTAGCAATGGCACGTGGTTTTATAGTTTTTTGTAATATTATATGTTGTTCAAATTATTGTACCTAATGTATATATTGGATATAGGATTGGATTAGATTGTTAATACTACGCATTCTACGCAACAGTATTCAGTTTATTTTATATTTAATATTAATTAGCTTATTATTTTCTAATAACTAATATACATTCTAAACATATATTTCTTTTTTGAAAAAACCATGTACATTTTTGTACTATTACAACTCTGAAATTTTGTATTTTAAAATTTCCAAAATGTAATCAATATTGAAAAAAATTATACCAGTGTAAAACTAACCACTTTCTTGCTTCTCAATACTTATAAAATATTTAAAAAAATTTCTCTTTGTGAGAACTATACAGCTTGACTATTATTGTAAATTGGCACATTCAAGTTTAGGTTCCTAATCTAATATCCATCCTACAACTTGTACTAATAAGTAGTAATGATAATACAACACCCATTATAATAATAATTATTATTGTCCATCTATAGTATCGTAACTATACAATACAATCTGATGTCTGGTAACCCATTACAACTCAACTTTTTATCTTTTCAAACAACAGTGTTTAATTTGCAGTGGCTTTTCACGGGCCTTTTATGCTTTTAAATTGATGTTTTGTCGAGAAACTAGAACGCGACGGTGGTGATGGTAGAAGGCATATTGGTCGGTAGCTCCTGCTCAAGTATGATACAGAAATTATTGCACAATGACTTCAATACTCAACTGTGTCATCGTGACGAAGCGTAAAGGAATAAAAAATCWGCTGGACCTCTAGAATCTCGAGACGTTGTGATAGTGAACATAAAATTATTGAGCATAGATAACGCGCTTTTGGAGGCGGCACGTCATCGCCCGTACCTCCATTGTTATTTGTTTGTCGACCAGTCAAAACGGTTACAGTTCAATTACGGTCGTTAAAAAAAAGAAAGAAAAAAAAGAAAAAGTAATACGCATATGGAAAAAAAAACTAACGACAATCGAACGAGAACAAACAAACCAAAACGGCTTGACGTCCACATTTCTCTGACTGACACTCTGATGGCCATGTGCCTGTGTATCGTCGAGTCGATGAGATCGTTCGGAAAACTAAAATACGTTTTCCACGAGAATTTTGAAGGCGTCAGGTCGCTGTTTCGCGCCCGATTTCGTGGCTGTATGTTGTAACGACCGCCGCCGTCTGGTTGGGACGTACTCACAAATTACAATACCGTGTACGGTAGACAAGCGGGCGGGGCGGGTGTTGGTTTGCGCGCGCACGCGCATCGCCCCCCGTCTGGTGTCATAGATTATCCAGCTGCGCCGTCGGGCAGGCGGCGGCGGTCCCCGACATCACTCGGCAGCCAGCTTAAGCACCGCGGCGGAATACTTGTGCGCGCCACCAGTGTGTTGTCTACTCGGCCCGTACCACTGCTCTGTGCATGTGACGCGCGCGCGAATTCATATTTTTATTCCGATCGAGACGGCCGAGGGCAACAGTAGCAAACGAAGCAGAAAATTACAATTATTGTCATTAACACAACAACTACTACAATTACTACTACTACTGTTGCTGATGCTGCAAAGACGACGACGACGACGACGACAAGAYAACGAATACGACACGACAACAACAACAACAACACGACGACGACACGACTACGGCGGCGGCGAAGGCGGCAGTGGCTGCTAGAAAACGACCGYTTCACTCGTTTTGCGTTCAATTTGCGAGAATTTTTTGCCAATTTCTACCGAACTATCGTCGTCTTTACATTTCTATAACACTCTCACACACACACACACACACACTCACACATACCCACACACACACACACACACACACACACACACATACATACACGCATACATTCGTTGAATACATAATATTTTACACGCGCGTAACTTTCTTTTAACAACAACAACGAAAACAACGATAGACGGTAGCGGCAATATTCTTCGTACGAAAATAACGAAATTATATGCGTTGTCGCGGTTCGCGGTGCGTCGTCGGAACGCGAAATCGGATCAGAAATCGTCGTCGTTTGTCCTAACCACTGCCGCCGCCGGAAACATCGAGTACCTAACAGGACAGTCGACGAAATCGGCCGCGCGGGCGTTCCGAGTACGTCGTCGACGTCGTCCGGTGGTGTACGTGTTGTGGTCGGGTCGCGCGCGATGCCGTCCGTCGTCGCCGCCACCACCAACGCCGCTGCAGCCGCGTCGTCCACTGGCCACCGTGCCGTCGTTGTACACAGYCCGTTATTGTGCGCCCGTTGCGTCGTCCGGTGCGACTTGAGTCCGTCCGGCGGTCTGCGATAGCTTTCCGAGCGGCCGCGCACAGTCGGTCAAGTCCACCGCCACCGCAGCAGCCGCAGTAACCGTCGCCGCGTGTACCCGACGCCGCCGTTGTACCGGCCGAGGCCTGAGGGAGTACCGCGGCCACCGCCGCCGCCGTCGTTGTCGTCGTCGTCGTATCCGTTTCGTACCGTTTTACCRGCGACCCGCCCGACCGCGCTCGCCCGTACCCGTTGTTCAGCATGAGTGACGTCGCCGAGCAGATCAAAGACGGCAACATGATGCTGACGGCCAGTCCGTTCTCCAATATCGTCAAACAAGAAAACGTACTCAAAAGCGCCGTCGACGTGCCAGCCACCGTGAGTATCGGCCCGACACCGTCACGTTTCGGTAGCTTCTCGYCCGGGTCTATGTTGTCTGTCGCCCGCCTATCCGCCTTTCCGCCCAGTTGCCACCGAGAAATATAATGCATTTCAAAAATCACCCACTCCCACGCCCCCGATGGACACGTCCGTGACGATCGTTTGAATCGAAAACGTTCGATTGGTTTTTTGCCGTTTTTTAAACCCCCCTCCCCCTACCCGTAAACATCGTACGACTTGATGGGTATCACAATCACAACGGTTTTTTCTTCGTACGGGTCCGAGGTACTTTAGTACAGCAGTTCGTACGGGCTACGTGATACGACGTAATACCTACGTATTAAAATAATCATACGTTGGTTTGATTTTCTCAGCTCTCACTTACGTCGCTCACAGTTTACAACTGATGACTGTTTACGTTTTTCTGTATGTACTAATGTTGGAAGTTACATTGGTACGCTTGTTTACTTCACTGGAATCGTTTTTGTTTTCCGTGTTATTGTTATACACGAATTCGRTTCACGGAAAATCTGTTGTCGGAATTTAAAAGTAGGTTTTACGTGATATATTCAGATGAGGAATGTTCCATGAAAAACTTTAACAGACATAATCCCAAAAGTATTCGTAACGTAAAATAAATGTTGTACATTTACGTGAAAATTAATTCGTATGAAATGGCATCACTGTTAAATATTTTAATGTTGATGTCTCACCATTTTACTCAGCTGAATGCAACGGATATATGATATATACAGCATGATATATTTGATTTCTGCTAACAGTTGGCTGAAACATGCTTTTAAGTATTTTTCTGTGACACATTTCAAATAGCTAAACTTGTTTGTATGATATGTTACATGCTAGTTTTACAATTGACTATCAAGTAACATATTAAAAACAATTTTTTTCTATCAAAATTAAATTACTGTTTCCTTTTTATATATTTTTTCTTGGGGATGTTATTTAYCATTGTTTAAACCAGTCAATAGCACATTTAGTATTATATAAACAACTATTAGCACCAATTAATATAGTTATTTACCAATTAACTACCTACAACRAAGAGATAAATTGATTGGAATAATTAACTTCCACTCWTAGTTCCCAACTATAAACTATAAAGCAAATTAACTGAAGTTATGTATTTTCAATATTATTTATAGTTTAGCATAAGATATTATTATTTTAGATTAATATACTAAATGTCCTCAAATTATTTTAAATTTGCTAAGCATTTAAATGTTAAATTGATATTATTATCAAATTTTCAGTCATATGGTAAAAATCAGTATTATGATATGTATTAATTGATGTGTTTATTTTTTTTTAGGCATACAGGATGTGCAATCCTTCATCTCATAATATACCATTAACTCAATTCTCACCTATTGGAAATTCCATGAAGCCAGGTTAGTTTACTACATTACAAAAATATTCTATACTAGCATGAAGTTGATAAACAATTTATTGCTATACATTTTTAATGAATCATTAGCGATCTAATGTTAAATGGTCCATTAAAAATGATTTGGTGGGTTCTAATTAGTTAAAATTGTTTGGGTAAGCAATTTGTCATAATCTTATAAATATTATATTAATTATTTTAACACTTGATTATATGACTTGATACTTTAAATAAACTATGCACTCTTGCTACTTATTTGAATATTGTAATGTTGGTATCCATGAATTTGTCATCAAAAGCAGAATCGATTGCACTCTAGTGTTATGTCCATAGACCAACAAAATACCATTTTCAATACTTGTAAAGTGTTTCGGAGTATGTTCACTGATATCTCTATTTCAAGAGCTCTAAGGTCAAATCTAGTATAATCGGATGTAGCATATAATATGAAATAATATGCTGTATTTGGACATAGAAGATTTATTTTCTTGATAATGTGTTTGCATTTTTTTAGATGTTAGAATCTAATATACGAATGTTTTTAATTTTAATGTTTCTGATATTTGTTTTTATGTTTATAAGGTATACCGAAATTGTCAGCCCATGAAGTTAAAGAAGAACATGGTATTTGTCCTGTTATATTACATCCTAATAAGCAATTGAGTTCACATGTAAGTCAAGCTATATTTATAYAATTTTAAAAATCATAATAAATCCTGGTGATACTTAATATGTATAGGCAAGGTATTATATATGTGCTTTGGTGCTACAGTGCTAAAACTGTTAAATTTGTTTCATATGGTCTAAAGTAATCAATTATTTTCAATCTCCTTTTTAATGTATACTTAAATATTTTGCACACTTCTGATTCAGACTTAAGACTTTCCACTAAGTCTATATTAACATCAAAATATATAAAACTGTAAAGTGAAATCACAAAATAATTTCTCAATTTTCAGCGGAACTATAATTTACTTAGTTGATTTATATAATTTACTTGGTTATGCAGTGTGAATAGTAAACAACCTACAGTGAAAGTTATGTTTTAATTACATATTTACATTGATAAAAATATTTAATACATACTTCTCTATATTACTCAGTAATATACTTGAGTGTTATCTTTTTAAAGTAACATTTTTCAACTAAAATATTTTAAGATTGGTAAATTTTATAAAAGATTAGTATTATTAATAAAACTACCTGCTCTAAATATATTTATAATTTGAAGTTGAACCTTAATAATATAGTGTGTATGCGTGTGATGTAAGACTGAKACTTTAGATGTGTGCTAATTTGATTATTTTTCTATCTTTTTAAAGGTTCAGGTGAAAAGTGAAGCACTTATAAAAACGATTGGATTTGCGCCTGCACGTTCTCAAATGACAGCTCAAGCCCAAAGCCGTATTGTTACTACATCATTGCAACGTTCTATTATAGAATCTCAAAATGTGTCACCACTTATAATAACACCTTCATCTCATGTTATTCATTCGGCTAATGAAATTGTTCCTGCTAAAGTATGTTTTCTGTTAATACAAAACCTCAATAAGTTTTGTAAATTGATTTATTTAAAAAAATATTAAATTTAATATTTTTATATTTACAGATTGTTCCAATACCATCAGCGCCTGCTGTATCACATTTTTCTGTAATAAATAAGACAGGTATGTTTAACAATATATTAAAATTGAATTGATTTATTTATTATATATATTTACAGGAGATCTATTTAATGCAAAATACATAATTTCAGAAAACATTTACGCTTTTTTGAAGAGTGTATTTCTTTTACATCGTTCTTTTATTCTTATCAGTTTTTGATTTTTTTTTTTACTCTTTTGAATAATTACGTATTTACATTTTTAATTTCTTATATCTGAACCAATATTTTATGGTACATTTCAATTATAAAAATAAAATGTCAGACAAGTAATGATGTATATATATAGAAGTATAGGTGAGTGAAGTAATGGACCAACATTTTGAGTGGTACTCCTATGCTACATCATTCCATTCATCAAAATTTCTAATGCATAAAACTCGCAAACTACTGATCCAAAATTCAATGTTTTTACATTTAAGTTCTCCTAAAAATACTCTACTCTCAAATAAGGAATTRAAATTATATATTGGCATAACAAGTGTTAAACAAGTTAATTAAAATAGTATTAGGAAAATGTTGTATTTTAATGACTTGAATTTATATAAAGAAATATTTTCAAAAATGTTAATAGTTTTTGAAATAATGAATGTCAATTAGATTCTGGTACATGATAAATACATCAGGAAAAAATGTCAATCAAAAATTATAGTCTGCAACATGAAAATTTTTGAGTAGCGCGACCCGTAGCTGCTTACYCCACCCATTAGCCATGGATACTCAACCTCTATTATTTATTATTGCACACAGTCCTGTTGTTACTTGTCGCACATGTTAAGGACCACTAAAGTGAAATAGCCACTAGGTTTGTGATTGTCAAGGGCTACTTTTCTTGTCGTAGACTATAAATAATATTKGAATGTGGTTGATCGTTGTGATACACTATGTACACTTGTTTTATCATTTTGAACTTTATTGTGTATTATTTAAATATTAATTGTTKTATATTTTGATTCTTTGTTATAGGTTCTTATGATAGTATACCTGAATTTACAGGCATACGACAAAGTTTGGTGTCAGGTACACCACCAGTTTATACTCAGAGTGATTTTGCTCGTTTTCCTCCAAAAAGTTACCACCTTAAAAATGCGGTTGTTAATCCTGCAGTTCTTCATGGTAATTATTACAAATTTAATACAAATTATTTGGATTAAATTATAAAATAGCTGTATTTGTATTGTGTTATATTATACTGTAATTGTATTCAAATTAAATATGAACTGCTGATTGTACTCTTTTCTGTATAATTTCTTCTTTTAGCATATATGGAACTAAAATTGTCATTATTAGGGCTCAGATTTTTATGTTAATACATATTTTCACCATGACTTCTAAATTTATTTCATTTGATTTTCAAACAAGTTAGCTGTATTTAATTTTATAATATGCATTTACTGTTGTTATAGGGTTAGACTAMWAAGTWAAACTAATATTTTACATATTTCACAATAATTTTAGTTTTTATTATAATATTTTTAAAATTTAAACAAAAATTCTAGTATTTTGACTAATTTCATATATTTAATTAAAAAATTCATATTGTATTACATATTTTGAGGTGTTTTTTTTTTGCAAAAATTCGTGTTAATATTTTGTTGTACATATAGATTGGAATCTGAGCCCTAATCATATATTATTGATGTAGCTTTGGGTATAATTGTTGTAGCATCAAATTGTGTCCAACATCATCCGCATTATTTACAAATTTTCTTAGCACACAACACTAATGCTCATGCTGAAGGCCACAAATCAGTAGCCACATTATCACTTATTAGCATGACAGTATTATTCACATAGATTTTTGGGTATGCTCTTTTGTGTCGCATATCTTGAAATTTTGAAGGTGGTGGGGATGATGTTGGACACAAATCGATAAACRCATAGCTATATTAATAGTTCATGATTTAAGCATCATATATTTATAGTTTGTGAGCAACTGTTTCAGATTTATCATCTTAGCCTTTTCGTAGTTCATTCTTTTTTACTTTATTTTTTGCGATCAGGTTTACTCAAGAGGATACCACACTTGCGCGTGTTGACTTCGTCTTACAAGTGCATAACATAGCAAATTTTACACTCAGCAGTTCCAATTTAGCTCTGTTAGTTAAACATTTAGAGCAATTTAACCTCTTATAAAAATTAAATGTATCATTATTATCGAGGTTATCACAGAAGCTTTTTATTATATTTTAATTTAAAGCTAGTTATGAGTATTTTAAGGTATTCCAACAATTTAAAATTTTAAAAATCATAACTTGCTTTAAAATTAAAATATAATAAAAATCCTCTATGACATCCAGGGCTGTGAATTTAATGCATTTAAAAACTATTAAATATGAATGCATATATGCACTAAAATCTGACAAAATATGATCTAAAAATTCTTATAATATAAGATATACTATAAGATTGACCGAAAAAATGTAAATATTACGGAAAAAAAGCGTTTAAACAAAATTATTAAAACATGCATTTATATGCCCTAACCCATGAAATATGTAAAAATATGCAAAATAAAATTTGGTATTTGAACTACAAATAAGTTAAAACAAATTTTGGCCGAATTCATTTTTTTATAAAGTGTAGCAAAAAAAACACTCAAATGCATTAAATTCACAGCCCTGATGATAACTTGGATCGAGGGTCAGCAAGTAATTTCTATTGAAGCCTGGAAAATTATAATAATAAATAATTGAGGTTTAGAGAAAAATGTTGATTTCAAATCTTTATATTTGTATAGAACATTATAATATGAAGACAAAAAAATTGTAAGATATGATCCAGTTTTCTGTCTTCTACGGTTCGGATTCGGACTGCKRTCCAACAGTTGCTGACCTTTGAACTAGATAATAATGTTGTCTTTAATTTTAATTAGAGGTCAATTCACTCTACATTTTAAACAAACTGGGCTAAATTATAACTGTTGAGTTTAAAATTTGGTATGTTACGAACTTGTAAGATGAAAACAACCCACACGGGTATGACATCCTCTTAAGTATTCAGGTCCATAATTTAATATACAATTTGAATCATTAATAAATCGCTGTTACATATCATGATTCTGTCTAAATGCTTAATACGCCAAAATGAAATGATTTTTAATTACCATTAATTCTTTAGTGGTGAACTTGATTTTAATGAACTAAATAATAAATATTATAGTGAGTCTCAAATTGCTATATTTTATAAATTATTTACATTTATAAAATTTAGAATCAGTTCCATCATATATTTTCCAATGCTAGTTATATAAATATTCAATAACTTCAAATTCTACAGATCTATACACAACACTAATAGACGTTTTGTTATGTTGATGGAACTTAATATAATATGACATTCAACATAATTACAATTTGTGTTAAAAATTCTAATATGCTTATATTTTTGCGTATACATTTTGTTTGACTGTAATAAATGATATGTAACTAGTTATTATTATCTAGGGGACAGAATTCAGTGATAACATAAATAGTATAGAAAATTATTATTTTTATTTTTTAAATTTTTGATGCATATTTATTATACTTTTTTATTACTTATAATTTTGTTATAAGTATCATTCTTTTATGATTCAACAACAAAACTGTATATTTGGATATGCATGGATATGTAAAATTATTTATTAGATCTAAGATGTTGAGAAAAAAAAAATTGCATATCCAAAATTCCATTATTAATATTTATAATCAAACACATAAACAAATATTAATTGTATTTATTTGTTCAAGTTTGAAATCGAAAGTATTAGGATACTTAGCAATGATGGGAGGAAATTTGTAATCAGAATATAACGCTTAGCTTTGGTTTGAACCTAAAGCAATTTAAAATTAYTCCATGCTTTATTTTTATCAAAAATTAATGTCTTATAACATTAATTTTGTTTAATTCATGAATTGCTTATATGTTAAAGATAAAAATAGTTTATTCCAAAAAAAGTTTCTTAGTTTATTTTTGAAAAATTGGGTAATTTTTAGAAATGTATTATCTTAATACTCTAATTTTTCTCCAAATTTTCTGAGTCTAATATTTTCTAAAATGTTCCAGCATTTAAATCCCTAGCTTAAGATTTAATATAAATAAAAATATATATTACTAGTTCATTGCGAATGTGTGATAAACAGCATGATTGGTAAAATAAAGAATGAAAATTCTGTTTAAATTTTAAATCAGTAGTTATATCAATTTTTTTATAAAAACATGAACTATGATTATTATATAAATATCATTAATTTTTAATAAACACTTAATATAAAATAATTGCAATAAAAAATAAAACATTGATAATAACCTTATATTTATACACTAATTGCGTGGTATTTTAATTTGTGGGATAAAATATTGTACTTATCCGAATCGATAAGATTAGTCTTCAGAGTATGTTGGCACATTTATTTTCTCTTTATTCCATTCACAACATACATAATTTGATGTTCACAATAATGATATTTATTAGTATAATAACTTTAAAACTAAAATAAAATTACATTTATATAATGTATAGTTTTAGTTTTGATTATTATATCCTAGGCTTTCTTAATTATATTTAAATTTTAAAGTAAGTTAAGATTACAAACAATTTACCATTTTAAAATAACCATAACTCCCTTTAATATAATAAAAAGCTTATGAGATGCCCAAGAMAATCTTACMTTTAAATGATTTCAATCTAGTTTTAGAAATTATTATGATTCTTATAAACATTATTGTGAACATAAAATTTACTATGTTACTTGTGAGCAGAAAGAAAACAAAATGTGCCGACATCTTAAAGCAATGATAAAGTTGTAMTTTATCATCAAAGATTTTTTTTTCTCAGTCATGATGATTTGCTCTTTTTCTCTATAATTTTTGTTTTTAAATAAGAATTTAGAACTTAATTTTTAATCATGAGTCCCATTTTCTCTCAAAAATCTTCTAAATATGTCATAAGTTCATTTTTCAACATTCAATATTATGCTAAAATATAGTTTTTAACTGATAATAAAGGTCGAACTTTAATCAGAAAAATTAATATATGCTAAATGATAACAATTACTCTTAAAAGTTTTTTAAATATTCTTTTCTTTTATTGTGATTATTATTTTAAGCTAAAAAACCCATTAAATTTTTTATTTTTTTATAAAAAATTAATAAAAAAAAAAAGTTCTAGGTGCTTGAATCATGTCTTAAGCTCTAAAATCGACTTTAATTTTTATAGTAATAAGAAGTTACACATTCAATCTTATTTTGTAAACATTTTTTTAAGGTATTAAAAATAAATAGTTGATACCCAAACAGCTGCTTGATAGATAATATATTTCTGGATTAATTCATGTTTTTATGTACAAACTTTGTATTGTTATAGGTCCCATTCCTGGAAATATTGATGAGCCATGTATAAATATACCCAATAGTCAACATGTATTTAAACCAATTATTTCACCTAGGCCTAGTATTTTAAGGAAGCGTGATGCAGATGGGTAAGTACCTACAAAGTAATTTTGTTTATTTTAAATACTAATACTTAAATATGTTTTAAATATAGTGTTCTTAGAGCGCAAAAAAATCTAATACCAATTTTAACTAAACCTGACATTGAGGAATGTCAAAATATAGAAGATACATCACTGAACAGAAATGGATATAGTGAAACTGGCTTACAAATTGAATCAATTATGGTACCACAAATACCTGAGGTTAGATTACTACCTCAAATTGCTGCTTTATCTAGGCAATCACATTTAATGGTTGAAATAAGTCCACGAAAAAAACCTCGTAAACAATTACTGTAAGCACATATTACTTTGAACAAATTGTTTTAAATTATTATTTTTATACAGAAAATTGCAAAATTTTACTTTATTTTTAGCCCTGTTAATCAAGAAGATAGTCCATTTAAAATAGTTGGTGATGATATGGAGTATGTGGATGATAAATTGATTAAAAAGGAAAAATCTGAAGATTACCCMGATGATGATTTAAATTGTAATGATGATTTAATCGATGGTGATGCTGAGGACGAAGCCGAAGATGATTTAGATGATATGGATGTTGATGATGATTGCCCTGCAGATGATGATTATGATGATGATGATGAAGATGATGATTTTGGAAATGATTTTGCAGATAGTGAGTTATCAAACTATTTATAGCATTAATAATCCAAGTATAAATTATTAAAATTATAATTTTATTCTGTTTGAAATTTAGGATTTGATTATATTAAATCAGATAAACCATTTTTTGAAGATATTAAACCATCTTTAGAAATGAATAATGAAGGCTTAGCTTGCATTAAACCTAAAAATAAACGACCCACATTATTGGGAAGTTATAAAAATACGTGGCGGGGGCACACTCATCATTTTCAAAGGTATAGTATTAAAAATAATTTAATGAATGCAAATATTGAATAAGCATTAATTATTTTAAGACAAACATTTACCTTAAGAGTATATACAACCAAAAATTTGTTGTACTTGATACTTCATAATTAGGGTCTAGATTTGTATGCATTTACACATTTATAATGTGTGTTTGCAGTTTGAGGGGAGTGAAAAATGTGAACGATTTGTGTAGCAGAGAATGCATAGAAGTTTGTTTTGCATATAAATGCATGTTTTAGGGATGAGAGCTTATTTGAAGAATTTGGCATAATCAAGCATATTTTGTATATTATAATAGTTTGTTAAACCAATTATTTTATTTATATTTCACCATAGAAACTAAATTTATGAGTTCATATAAGTATAATTGTGGGAAATATTTAATTTCCTGTATCTTATATATATATTTTTTTAATAATTATATTGAATTTATATCGTACTTATCGAAACACAGTCATCGACAACAACGAAGAAAGGTTATATAAGGTGTAACAGGAATATTTAACAAATTTCCATTACAAATATTACTATATTCGTCAAATAGTACTGTTACATTCTGTAATTAAATTTCCTTAATACAATTTTTTTTTAGTCTTATATTGGATAAACTCGCCGCCTCATTTTGTCACCTTCGTYAGGCATTTAATTAATATTCTAAATTGATGTTACAGTGTCTGTAATAAAAAATATTAATTTTCTTTAATTAAGTTGTGTTGTATTGATGTATAAAAAAAAATTTTTTAAAAAAAATATAACTATATATAATTTGGGTAAGAGGATATTTTTGTATATTAAAAAAATAAAAGCATTTCAAGTGCATATTTTAAGGTTATTTGATGCATAACTGCTTACTATTTTAAGGTTTTTGAGTGCATACAAATACGGACCCTACTCATATATATAATAAAAATAAATCTTAAAAACAGAAAGTTAAAAAAAAWAAATATTTATTAAGTTATGGGTGAACTCAAATATACTTGTGACAACATTGTTTCTGCTATTCCTGCAGGAGACCTCGGAAAACCATATGAATAATTCATACGTTTCCAAATATTCCAATTGCCTGCAGATTTTTAAATATATCATTTTTATATTTATATTTTATTATATATGTTCAAAACTGATTCTGTTTGATGATTTATTTTTGGTTTATAAATAATATCCAATATTTCTGAATGATCCATAAATTATACTATTCTTGACTCTAGTACCAATGTTATCTTGCTCGTTACATCTGGTAATTAATATATAATAATGGTTATGTATAACAATTTTACTTGTTCACTACTGTGTCAGTGTATTTAGTTATTACAATCAAAGAACTCATCGATTTCTCAATCGTGAAAATTTGCCTGTAAAACCAGTAACTATTCACTATACYATTATAAGATATGTATCTATAAATTTAAAATTTTGAAAAGAATTCAATTTAGATATTATTTCATCAAATTTTGAGTGGTCATGATGGACTTTAATAAGCATGATTATTAGTCAGAATGGTTTTTACAGCCTGTCTAATAATTTTTAAGAGGACATTATACCCGCATGTGTTGTCTCAGTTTTACAAGTGCGTTACATAGCAAATTTTATGCTCAGCAGATCACATTTAGCTCCGTGAATTTAAAGTTTAGAGTGAATTCACCTCTTATAAAAATTAAAGGTAACATTATTATTGTGGGATTCTCAAAGGCTTTTTACTATATTTTAATTTTAAAGTGAGTATTTTAAAATTGTAAATTGTTTGTATATCTTAAAATGTTATGCATTTTAAGTTTGATAATAAGTCGATTAATTCTAATATTTAACCTAATTAGTTCTACTTAACTCATGTTTGATTTGTTTTACGTTTGTAAGACGGAAACAACTTGTATGTATAAATACATATAATYGACTTTTATATCTGTAGCTTCCTCTAAAAGTTTAATATATACTCATGCTAGTTCCATTTATTAAAAACATATAACGATAAAAAATACATTTCATTTTATATCATATTTATATCGGTCTAGATTATTTAAATTTTAAATTTTATTTGCATACAAGTTTAAATTGTCTACAGTGGTAACTTAAATAGTTTACTTCTGATTTTTTATTGATTAATGTTTTTTTTTTAAAGGTATACTGATTTCAAAATTAAAGAAACTAAAAAGCAATTAGCTGAAATGCAGCAAGCTAAAAAATGGACATCAGATAGCATATCAGGATGGAGAGTTCGGCACTTATTACATCAATTCGATGGAATGGTAAATTAAAAATATAAATTTTTATAAGTATTAAACGATATTTCAGTTAGTATTGATCTGAATCAGTGATGGGTYAAAATGTTTGAATCTCGAACAGAATCCTTGATGTTAGGTTCAAAATTTAAACTTGTATAAAAAAAAAAATGAACCATGCAATGAATTAAAAAATTTATTACTTTTCTTGCCACTACAGTCTGACCAATATCATATTGTACATTTTTTCAAAAGTTATTTTTGTAATTGATAACGACTTAATAAATATTAAATTATTATTTATTCTGTACCTACTATCTATGTAAAAAATAAAAAATCAGCAGAAATTATCTAAATTAATTGTAAATACAGTTACTAAAACTTTAAGAATAGCTAATATATTATGAATATTCAAAATATAAATTTTAATTATGATTTGTTTAATTTGTACATGATAGAAGATTGAGTTTGAAAAGTTCGGTTTGATTTCAAATATTAAAGTCGAATCTATCACTACATTACAAATTATATTTTTAAGTTATAGTATGTAGTAAAGGTATATGTAGTGTGTTCAGTAATATTAAAGGAAATAATTAATGGCATACAATATTAGGTACTAATAAAATATTTGATATTTATAACTTATTACAGTTCATAAAATGTTTAGTGACATATAATATGCTATATTATTAGATAAAATGATATAGTAGAAAAGATAAAAATTTGATTTGACCACAGTACTGATCTTATAAAAACGTAAACATGTATTAACAAAATACAAATAACTGTTATAGATAAGTATTGAAGACGAAATTATTGCAAGAATGAATGAACTTATATCTCATTTTGAAGTAACTATTACAGATATTAAGTTGTGCCATCATTTCGTTGAGCTCGTTAAAGTATGTATATTCAAAAATCGCTTACTTGCTATTATATTTATGCATTAAGAATAAAGCTTTATAATAATATAATTAATTACATTATTAAATTATAAGTTTTTATTGTGTTCATTTGTTGGAAAGGGTAAACAACTCAACATTGTATTATTTACAGCTACTTTTACATTTAATAATTCACCAAATATTTTTTCTATTTTTTACTGTATAAAATAACCTTATAAAATGCATATTCAAATGTTWACTATAATCGTTAACTTTATTTGGATGAAAAAATTGAAAAAATCATGTTTAGAGGATGCGATACTTGCATGTAGACAGACAGTCTTACAAGTGCGTAACATACCAAATTTTACCCTCAGCTGGTCACAATTTGTTCTGTTTAAAAATTAACCGTGAATATTGCCCTCTTATAAAATGTAAAGATAAGAGTATTATTTAGATGACTTGATGGCCTTTTAACTTTATTTCTATTTTAAAGCGAGTGGTACAAACAATTTACAATTAAATATTACTAAAAACACTCTCTTCAAAATTAATATGTAATGAAAAGCCCATGAAATCGTCTAAATAATACTCTTACCTTAATTTTATAARAGGTCAATTCATTCTTAAYTTTTAAGCTAACGGAAGCAAACGTGATCTACCGAGTGTAAAATTGCTGTTACCCATTTTTAAGAAGGATACAACKTGTGCGGGTAACTCGTTTTCATAAATAAATAGTTTTAACTATTTTGTAAAATTAGATCCAATTTATGAAATAATTTGTTTTAAATCGTAGTAATTTTTTTTTTTTTAGGATAATATGCAAAGGAGCAAAGTATCGAAAATTCAATTAGAAGAAATTAGACATCAATTGAAGAAAATATTCGACTATAAACCAATAATTGATGATGTGTTTGATAAATATTGTCCCAAAGAMCTCAAAAAGAAATATCCAAAACCAATTAATCTTAGCAAATCTTAGACGGTATTTTAATTTTATTTATATGATACATTTTTTAAAATATTTTTTGGTTTTATTCGAAAAAAAAATGTGTATACTTATTACGTATTTTTTTTTGTCTTAAATTATTAAAATAAATTTTTTTTTTATTTTTTATCCAACTGCATATACAATGTAACATATTGTAATAAATCAACATTTTATAAAATCTATTATATATACAAATTTTTATTTTTTAATCGGTTTAAAAAAAAAAAATTTTATTTTACATTGTTAATGTAATCAAGGCTGTTATTTAGCCGTAATCATCAAAATACCATTTTACTACACTAAGTATATTGGTACACGTCGAGGCATGTCAAAAGTTAGATCTTTTCTCGAAAACAATTATTTGACAAGCTTYGATTTGTCTAATTTAAGTTTATTTTATTAAAAAGTAACTATGATCATTTTTTTTAGATGTGTATTGCCAATAAGAATATTTTGATTTACACTGCACACATATCCAAGAAATACCCAACGAAGTGTGTTAGTTGCAAGTACATTATGGTGTAAAAAAAAAAATGATAACCAGCTTCGATAAAAACTGAAAATGATTCTAGTGTTGCTTTTGTTGGTACAAAATGAAATTCAAAAAAATTATTGATTTAAAATCTTTGAAAATATTCAATATTCTATTCTAAGGTTGTTGAAATGATTTTCTAATTTAAGACATATAATATTCTGAACAATGGAATGGTCACATATTGTGTAGCTGGACATCTTTGAAGCTCAGGTTAAGGTCCTTTTTCTTAATAATTTATAAATTAACCATTTTAGATGGATTCAAATTAGATGGCCAGATCAAGTAAATTAACTATTTTTTTCATGGTTTATGTTACCTTTTATCATCTAGAGAAAATATTTATTTATACACATCGAAATTAATCATTGGTGGTTTAATGGTATAGTTTCTCATCAAAATCTTGCATCCCACATTTTTGTATATATTATATTATTTATTTTTCTAATTTGAAATATTTAATTTCATATTATTTAGCTATTAAAATTATTTATTTTGATATCATAATTTTGTTAATTTATATTTTTTGTATTATAATTATTGAAATAATAGTATGATTTATGTTTATATTGTTTAAACGGTATTTTTTGTTCCTGAAAACTTGTGACAAAATAATACGTGGTACCTATTACTGTAAGTTTCAAAAATTTATCTTGTGATTTCTTAATGTTTAATTTTTGTAAAATATTTGATTCTCAGAAATTCCGGCAATTTTTCCAAATATTGATATTTAATCACAGATATATTATTAAATTAATAAGCAGATGCATTTCAAATTATGTCGATGAAATGGATGGAGATGGTTGTTCTATTTAATGCCTGAAAATAATGAAGCGAAGTCTACCTAGTTCATTAAAGTCTTATACTTAGAGAACTCATTCATCAGAAAACTGAAATATTTTGGATCATTATTGTWGTATGGCAGAAGTTTAAATTCAACAGAATCCAWTTTTAAAATTTTCTAATTTGTACTATTTGTATCTGCTATGTTGTTGCATATATTTAATATGGGACTGTTTATGAATACGTATATTTTTTTAATCAATATGTATTATAATGTATGTAAAGTGATCCAAACATGTGTGTTCAAGTTTATATGTTTGTGTGTACATGTGTATATTGTTATATGTGTTTTGAAGATTAAGATTTTTTCATGCTTTGTGAATAAAGTTTGGCTATGTCTACAATTTAAATTTCAAGTGTTTCATTATTGAAAATTTTAAATTAAATTCACTTGTAGTATTCAAATGTATTCAAATGCTTAAATTGATGCTAATACCTGTTCATTAATTACTCATTCATAATAAGCACCATTTATTTTATTTGACTCTCAATTCCAGTTAAAAGTATAGATTTGTTTTCGATTTTAATGGTATATTGAATGCATATTTATATAAGTAAAATTATTAATAATCTGTTTAAATTAGGAATATTGTCAGAGGGATTATTCAAAATATTTTCAAATAGTAACTACAGGTGAAATGTTGGTTATTTTTACTTTTTTATGTTTAAATGGATTTCTGATGATTTTTGTATTAAATAATCACAAATCAAGCATTTAAAAGTTTTAGAATTATACATTTTCAACCTAGTTGATTTTAAACAAGTATATAAAAACTGATATCTCTTTAAATAGAATAAGTTACACGAAAATAAAGATTTCAGTTAGGATTGGGCCTAAAAATTCACCTGTGATTGGTATTTTTTTTTTCAAATTGATCATTATTTGTTATAATATACAAAAGTCTTACATGAGGTTGGGTAAATGATTCTCCACATAAGTATCAAAATACAGTTAATTTAATATTTAAAATACATATATTTTATGAAACAAAAATAGTTTTTCCTTATGTTTTTTAAAACCTATGGARAACGGAATGACTAAACTTTGTAAATCGGTTATTATAGAGATCTCCCAATGGCCATTGGTAGCTTGACATGTCCAATTCATGGAACCTTGTATAAAGTCGACAATAGCAAATTTAAGATGTAACTAGAATTTTATAGTTTTCTTGTTATTTTAGTCAAATGCCATATTTCTTATGTTTAAATTAAAGTGCAATTACTAAATAAAATCCCAATAAATACATACCATTTGTAGGCAGCAATAATCTCCTTTGTAATGAGATTATTAGATATGGCATACATACAATTATTTTATTTATAAATGCAAAATAATTTCTCTGGTCTTATAGCTTGAGCAATTCATATCAAMATAGGTTAGATGAACAAACACAACTGCAAATTGTTTGTTGCATTATTAGTTGATATACATCATATCCTGTTGATAAAAGTATTTGACTTAAAATTAAATAAATATGTATTTATTAGATAAAGCTAATTAATTTTTGGAAGTATTGTCTGCAATCATTGTAGGCCATACATATATACTATAGATCAAAGTTTAAAAAGGACAAATAAATATAAGATTTATCAATGCCATGAGATTATATTTTATCAATAATTTTTTAGTTATACAATTTATTTTTATGATTGTATACAGGCTATAATTGAAATTTACAATGATAAATGGTTTTCCGAACTATCACCGTAATGGATTGGAATGAATTGCATATTTTGTAAATTTAAGCCTAACCCTAAAAATYAGAAGGTACTTAAGTAYATATATTTAATTAGTAATTATTTCAATTAAGAACTGACCCTTCACAACAGCATAATTTTAATACTTTTTGAACAGATTTAAATCATAAAATTTACGATTTATGATTGCCAACTGAAATTTCACGATATTGCATAATATTATGTCAAATGAGATCACCTTATTTGCTCTATAAACATTAACAAAACTTCCAATCATTTGTTAYCCATTATTTGTTCATATCCTTAGCATAACATAGTTGGTATCATGACAAAATAGATAGGTATGTCAGCAACGATACGAGTTTTGGTCCTGTTAGCGCATCCCANGATTTATGATTGCCAACTGAAATTTCACGATATTGCATAATATTATGTCAAATGAGATCACCTTATTTGCTCTATAAACATTAACAAAAATTCCAATCATTTGTTATCCATTTTTTGTTCATATCCTTAGCATAACATAGTTGGTATTATAAATGCTTTTTGGTGCATAATTGCATATTATATTATAAATCATAAATCTAATTAAACTATTATTGAATGGRAAATAATAAAAAAATATATATTTAGATTTTAAGAAGTCTTCTAMTGTGCCACACTTGAATTACACACAGAAAGATTGTGGCCCAAGAAGAGCTAAATTGCAGTACACCTGTGCAGTAAAACTAAAAGTTAATGATTTATTGTTATAACTTAGAAATAGTAATATTATTTTGAACAAACAGATCTATAAAATTACAATTATCAATAATACATAATATAATAGGTACATTATAGATACCTCATTGAAAATTATAAGTATAGTATGATTAGTATGATATTTCTCTAGTAGGTACCTATATGTATAAAGATATTACACTCAGCTTACTGTACAGATTTTTTTCAGTTATGAATCAATTAATTTTTTTTTGTAAACATTAAAGTTTAGCCACTAGATATCATCATCTTGGATTACTTGAAATATTTTTGAAATTCTATTTYGAATTCTGAACTGAAAAAAATCACAGGGATTTGGAAAAAATAAATTTGTTGACTCATAAGTTCTTAGAACAACTTAATACACATTATGAATATATTTAGTCTGTAAACTGAAGTATGAAAAATAAAATTGTGTTGTTTCAAGTCGCATTAAATTATGAGTAACTTAATTATTCGAAAACACCTTAATTTTATTTAATACTTAAATGAAAAATAACTAAAATAGAAAAACAATAAATTTGTGTTTTAAAAAAATTAGTAGATTTTTCATAAGCCAACAAATAACTATTTTTATCATTTTTACGCYAAGATATAAATTATATAACTTTAAAATAAAATACGTTAATACTTTAATAGCTCTATGCTTAAACAATTTAAATTATAAATAAGTTTAAAAACTAACCTTATAAGTTATAGATTATATACATATATATATATATGATGTAATCGTTTAAGTAAATACTAAATAATTAAATAAACTATAGTACGAAAGTATAAAAAATTTCTTTCAGCTCTATTGTCTTACCTGTCAGTCAGTTTTTTTTACTGTAAGGTACTGATTTAAAATCAAAAATTATTTTTTTTTTAATTATTAATATAATTGTTTCAATACGTCCTACACCAAGTATATTTACAATAGTAAAATAAAAAATAATTTTATGTTTTCCATTGAAATATCGAATGAAGTATTCTTTTGAATTACTGTAAAATAATTAAAAAATTTACAAAACATATAAAATGAGTTAATATTAAATTAATTACCTATCATACAATATAATTTATAATTATATTAGAGCTTAACCTTTATCTATTATAGATTACTATATTGATTAGTAGGGTTAGGATGTTTATGATCTTAAAAATACTAAAAAATGTATGCAAATATGCACAATAAATATCAAAATATGCTCTTAAAAAAAATTAAACATTACATTTTAAAATTTTATTTCTAATCCGAAATGTATTTAAAATTAATTTACAACTTTTTTATAACTTTAAACTTAAATACAAATATATAAAAATATGATATTTTGAAATTAAAAACATGTAAGTAATAAAGATAAGTTTATTATATACGACGGGTTTCATATTTTCTCATTTTCGTTAAATGTGAAACTAACTGTGCCTACCTTTGAGTTTTTATTGAGGTTTATAKTGTATTTAAGTTATTTTTTGGCGAAATATKCATTTATTTGCTATAGTTTTGGCCAAATATGCATTTATTTACAATTTTTTTCAAAATAAGCATTTATTCATAAAAATCCCTAAATATGCAAAAATATGCAAAATAAAATTGCATGTATCTGATTCTATGCCGCACAAAACAAATTTATAACTTGGTCTGCAAAGTGCACGACTAAAAGAAAAAATATGCAAAGGATATTTATTATCCTAACCCTATTGATTAGGTACATAAGTCACACATAACTACTAGATACATTTTTTTTTTTTGGGGGGGGGCCTCCCAAGTGTCCCATTGCACCTGAGGATTTGTACCAATGTCGAGGGTATACTTGCTTGATAATTACGATTATGAAAAACGCAGGTCGTATCTAATTAAAACAAGTCCAATTGAAAACGATGAAATCAATTTTATTTTATTTTCAAAACATTTATTTATCTATATGATATTATGATTTTGATTTAAGAAGACGCCACACTTACTTGCGTTGTATTCGTCTTGCAAACATAGAACAGCAAAAACTGTACTTGTGCGGGACAACTGTTCTCCCCCAGTTGTGGAAAGGTGGGTAGAATGGGGTAGTCGGGTAAAACAGGATATAGGCGTTTTTGGTCACACTGGAATCGATTGATGATAACTAAATCGTAGATTATCAATACAAGACTT